TGCATGCACACTGATTATAAGCCTGATGCACTGGCAAAGTTACGTACAATTATTAGTTAAACGCTTGCATGTTGCTCTGTGTAGCCCACAGGAGGTGTACACCCACACACACAGTTGAACACGGCGAGCTGACTTCGTTTTTGTTGTCATCTATCACGCACACATACAGCGTGTAATTAGCGATCTTCACCGAGGAATTAAGCGCACGACACTCCTTAAAAAGCGCCTATTATTGTGAGCTTTACGCCGGGGGGAAATTAAAGGCTTCGACCTGTACAGTAAATTGAATCTTTATGGGATTTATTCAGCTATACTCGATCCATCAGCGCGATGGAAATGCTGCTGTCCATCAGCGGAATATTTCAGCCAAACAGGCTCTCCTTCATCGCGCTGCAATCCACGTGTGATTTTTTTTTTTTTTGGCTTAAATGTCGAGTTAAAGAATTTATTGATCGTGTTGTTTAAATAAGAAAAAAAAAAAAAAAGTTTAGACTACAAACTTGCAAAAAAATGAGGGGGTCACATAATTTCAAGCACAACTAAGCATGCAGGAAAATGACGTGCGCCCTGAGGGTTAACACATTGATTCTGGTCTATAAAAAGCATCTGGGCCTTTTTAAATGTGTGCGTCATTTTTAAATATATCTTTTTTCTTAAGTACCACCTCTAATGAGATGAGCTTCCATTTTATTTTTTAAATTTCCCTCGTAAAAGATAAAGATACAATCTGATTTTCAAACTTTGGGAGCCAGACTTTTGGATGTCTCTTGTATGTTTGGGTCCAGTGTTTCTTTCTGTCACGCTTACCGAGCAGCCCTGTGACACCATTAGCCCCCGTGTTTATCCCAGCCTTCAGCCTTTTGCCAGGAGAGGGCTTCTGTGGACTGTAGCTACACCTTCTGTAGGCTACACAGGAAATACTTGATCTTCTTCATGTCCTCCCTCAAACTTCCAAAGATCTGTGCACTATGGAAGTTGAATTAGTTCAATTAAATTGCATGACTGTATTCATCCATCAGCACGTCCTTCCCAGGAGACGGAGGATAGTGCAGCCTAATTCAATTGAAAATACAGAATTTAATTTCACTTAAGGCACAGAGCTTCATTTTGATGGAACATTTTTAAAAAGCCAATCTAAAGTAGATAATTTGTGCTTGTTATGCTTTCTGCAAACATTTCCTCCTTGTACTCCTGAGAAAGCTACAATGATTTCCCCACGCCGTGATGGAGTTATGTTTCCTTATACTTATGTGCTAAGAAATAAGTCGACATTAACACATCCTCTGTTCCGGGACGCGCTGCATGTGCAGCACGCATTAGAAAATAGCAGATTAATGAAATATCCGAGCACAAGTCAAACAAGCATGTGATTGTTTAATTATTGTTGATGAAAACAGAATTACACGTTGTAAAAGTGCAAATAATTTATGCAAATAAACCAGCGATTTCCTCACGAATCTCTTGATAAATGTGACAATCCGAGGCTGTTTGATGAATGACAGGTCATCCCAACAAGAATACAGCCCACAAACTCAAAGCGACATTTAAACATTGTGATTACAAAATGAACAACACCAGTTAA